CTGACAGCATGCATGTGCTGTATCCAGGCCATACTGCAGATTCAGGTAATGGTCAGCCACAGCAGTCGCTGAGGAGGGTGGAGGAGAGAAGGGAGCACAGGGCACACAGTTCAGCAATGTCTGCAAGCCTTGGCCTCTGAGACATCTGTGAGCATGTGCTGAAGCCTGCACCTTTTAGGTATGCAAGCCATTGCTACCACCCTGGCCTATATGGAATCAACTAAGCCTCCAGGAGCTGTTGCTGCAGTGGCAGACAGTCTCCCATCTATGGCAGAACTTCCGAGGAGTGGAGAGTGCAGCTACAGGACCTATGGCCCAGCTTCAGTTGGGAGCAGAGATCTGGGTTCCCAGATTGACAGTCAACCTGCAGAGATATAGCCAGCAAGGAGTCATATGTCTATTGAAACGCAAATGTGTTTTTGCCAGTATGGCGTTCAATCTGCTGTTGAAATAAAGGACTTGAGAACTGAGACCTCAGAAATTTTTCTCTCTGAGAGAAACAGACTTGTTAAAGCAATGGAACGCCATTATGGAGGCAATGAGTGACTGAAACTCCTCTTCAGAAATGAGGAGGAATATCCTAAAGGTTTTTGTTGCTGCTCAGAGACTGGGACAGTTCAGACTTATCTTTGAAACTTTAGAAGCACCAATGTAGTTGGATTGCAGGAGAGAAAAAAAGACTCAGCTCATCTACCACAGAAACCTTTTCTAGTCTTTCGGTTAAGATGCATTTAAGAGAATTGTGATTTGACAAATTACGTGTTTATGCTAGAATTATGGTATTGACCTATTCATGTTTATTGTTCATTATGAAGATGTTATTGATTAGACAAAGACTAGAGATGGTCTGAGAAAATTTGACATGATAAGTCAGATTTAGATTTTGATTGTAGCTGAAAACTGTTCAAGATATCCTAGACCAACTTGAAAAGACAATTCTATTCCTGGCCATTCTCCATTCCTTTATTAGGAGATATTGGTGCCATAGGAGTATATGTATCACAAAGCATTGTCTGTTTGCATATGATTAACTCTCCAGATAGAAAATTGGCTCAAAGGTGCATAGCACCTTGAGATATGTTCTTCCTTAATAGAGGCTTGTAGTCAGAGATGGGTAAGATCTCCCTCCCAGGCATTTTAAGACAGAACATACATGATAGAATGTATGTACCTGCCAGATTCTCTGGCAGAAAAGGGAAGGGGCAGAGCAGGACCTGCTGTACTTTCCCTGGGGCTGAGTGGGATGGTGAATGTAGATGGCCCAGATCCCCCCCCCCCCGCCAGCCACCTGAGAAATACACCCACTGAATTGGGAGTCTCTTGAAGCAGAATCTCATTTAATTGCATGAGGCAGGAACTTATGTTGGCTGAGATAGGGATGGGAAGCCTGGGATGGGCTGAGGTGGAACAAGGAACAATGGCCAATAATATTCTACCACGTTAGTGGTGGTTGGGTGCTCTGGAACAATGGTCTGGACCCTGTCACTTGTATTTTAAATAAACACTGATTGTCCTCTAGCCAGGCAAGAAGTATAAAAGGGGTGACCCTGCAGGAAGTACAGGCGGGACAATGAGAATTCTGGGTAGTGGGAAGTTTCAATCTACAGTTGTGACCCAGACAACCCAAAAAGCCAGTACATGCAGTAGAAACAAGTCCCAGTGCCTTTATCAATGGCTTCTCAGTCAGCCCCCATTGTCAGCCACATTCAGAGAGTCCAGTTTGATCACATGCTCATTCATTACCGGTCCAGCTGGATTTGGTGAGCTCCCATTAGAACAGGCACACTGTCTCAGTGGGTGGACCAACCCCTTGCGGTCCAGATGACTGCTGGACGGGGCAGGACAGAAACCTCTGTCAACAGCTGGTCAGAGGTGGGCCTAGGTTGGGTTGTATTGAGTCACTTCCTGTGTGGAAGTTATAGCAAGAGACAAGTCTCCAAACTCAAGCTAGGGTCAGGAAGTTACACTGGGCCTAACCAGACTCAAGTTAGTCTTAAGAAGTTACACTGGGCCTCATGCCCAGGGCTCACGAGGCCCAACATGTACCAATAATGGGTAATTCTGGAAAATGTAAAACTGATTCCCAAGATAGGCACAGTCACCTGCTCTGTTTCAGAAGCACAGGCTTTTTAAAAAATATCAAAAGGAAGGATTATGTGAGGACCAGCAGGTGTGAGCCTCTTCTGACTGACAGTCAGAGAGCTTGAGCTTGTTTTGCTCTCTCAAAGTTGTTGACAGTAGACATGGCTATAAATGTGAGATTCTGACCTAAGGTGTGAATAACTAGTATTTTGGGTATAGAGGTGGTTCTGTTCCACCTGAGCCTAAGGCTGGAGAATTCAAGTCTATTCCTTATATTATGTTAATAAAGTCTGTTGCACCCCCCTCCTTTTGGAATGAAGTGTATAAGCAGGTGAGAAAGAAATGAGGTGAATTCAGTGTTCACTGAATGCTCCTCCTGACGCTGCTTTGTGTTTCTGTCTCTTATTTCTTTTATATCTCTCTTCCTTTTGCTTAATACTTCCAATCCTCATGCTTCTTTTCTGGAATGTACGAGTTTTGTTGAAGCTGGTCTTCGACAGAGGTTGCCCAACATGGTGCTTTTGACATAACATGCTTGGGTTTAGAGAAGGAGAGAAGCATATTCCAACTCCAAAGTCAGTTTTAGTTTTTAATTGAGTTGGGATTACAAATATTTTGGGAGGGAATGATATTATACACTATAAAAAGTAAATGTACCATTAAACCAGATTTTTCCGTTTCTTGGTAATTCTTTTTGACAATTCTTCCTTCTTCTTTGGATGTCTAGCTGTCCAGTGGTTCATAATGTATTACAGATGAATATTTTTATTTTTCTGTAAAGAAAAAAAAATGAAACTCTGCCCTGACCCTAATATGGTGAGTTTTCCTTTTGACATGCGAATCATCATATATGTTGATGAACTGTCATTTCTCCTGATTAAGAGGTTTATTCTGTATGAATTGAATCCTTATTAATTTTGAGGGTAACCGTAGCTTTTCTTTTCCTATGGAAACAAAAACAAAAGCAAAAAAACCAGCCCCAACATAACATAAATCCTGGCTTTTGTTCTAAGGTCAACACATTTTTAAACATCACAGGTTGATTTAATTTAGCAATATTTTATGTTGTCCAATGTTTTCTGTAACTGTTGCTGCTTTCTTGTTAGCCTTTAGAAAATGTTATGTTACTAACTCATTATGTAATCTATCTCTGGGGATATTTATTACTCCTTTTTGTTTATTAAGCATTTCTTTTAAAGTGTGGATAGATCTTTTCACAACCACGTCCTATGTTGGATTGTGTAGTATATTTGTAATATTCTTTATATTGTAATATGCAAAAAACTGCTTCATTTGACTAGAGATGTATGCTAGATCATTGTCAGTCTTAATTTGTACAGGTATTCCCATGATGGTCATGACTTCTAATAGGTGTATGGTGACAGAATTAATCTTTACAGAACTTAAAGCAGTTGCCCATAGAAGTCTTGATTACATATCTATGACACATTTTAATTTTCCAAATTCTGAAAAATTAAACACTTTCATTTGCCAAATTTTACTTCTTTGTGTACCTTTAGGGTTACTTACCACATTTAATGGAGTTGGATTATAGGAGGAACAAATAGAACATTTTTTTTTATAATTTCTTTGACTTAATGCCTACTGATGGAAAAATCCTTTTTCAAACTTTTTTGCCATTGACATGGTGCTTTGTATGAAATTCTGAGGCTTCTAGCACATTTCCAACTAGTAACTGATCAATTTAATTATTACACAATGACAGAGGGTCTGGCAGACTCATATGGGATCTCAAATGTGTTTTATATATTAGGAATAATTTCTATTTATGACTATTTCCTGTAATTGTATAAATAACAAAGTATAATAACTGATAATAATATCAGTTAATTCTGATATATCAGGAATAAGTTCAGTGGTTTCTAATGTGCAAATCAACTTCTGCATATTGAGAATCAGTAACTATATTGAGATTTTCTGTAAAATGCATTAATACTATAGAATAGCATATAATTCTGACCTTTGGATAGAATCATAAGGAGTTTGATATATTTTTTTATTTAAATTTCTTGATTTATAACTTGCCTTTCTTGATTTATTTGAATCATTATATAATGTAGGGGCTCTATATATTGGTGTACAATGTGAGGAAGGATACAATTAGTTATCTTTGTGAATTGAAGTCTCTTATTTTTGGGATGTCTGTTGTTAGCCTCTCCCACAAAAAAAATTTGGCTAAGGATTTGCAAATCTTGTTATTCTTTTTGAAAAAATAATCTGATTTATACATTTCATTACTTTCTGACTTCAATTTTCTTTCTATCCTCTGGTTTGAGCTTGGGTTTGTTCCTTTTTTTGTAAACCAAGAAAAAGGCCCAAGGCCATTCTATCACCCTCACAGGTCACAGCAGGATGTAATATAAAATGTGGGGGTTCTGCGTTTGGGATTATGTCAGTACAATTAACAAACTCATTTTTTTAAAATCAGGCACACACACACACACACACACACACACACACACACACACACACACTTCCCAGTTTTACTACATATAAATTCCCAAGTCTATCATAGACAACGATGGATGGGAATCATTGTGTATAGAATCTCTGGAGATTTTATATGTGACATTGATCTTTCCCATTGGGTCATTCACACATATATAGCTGTGGCAAATCATTTTCCTCACTGATTCCTTTCCAAGACTAGTTACTAAGTTGCATGACAGCAGCACATCTTCCCTCTCCCAGAACCTTCTGCATCTCTCCAGAACCACAAACAAATGGGCAGTGAGATGCAAACTCATTTCTGCTGTATGTACTCCAAGAACTGTGTGTCCCCTAAGGTCATGTTTCTTGTGATATGCAAGTGTGAGTGTGAAGATCCATATCCTCAGTGCTCCATTCTCTTGTCTCACCTGCCTTGGGACAGCAACAGCTCAGAAGGGGCTGGGGCAGTCTTTTATTTAGAAAGGTATAAGCAACACTTCAAAGTGGTGCATTTGGGAAGCAGTAGGAGAAACAAGGAATTAGCCACTTAGGTGTGCAGGGTCTGTCTGCAGCATCCTGCTCTACTGATCTTTGCATTCTGAAGTGATGTCACTCAGGGCTCAGATCCCTGTCTGAGGAAAGGGAACTAAAGGAGAAGCTAGAGTAGGAGGAAATCAGCACAGTGCAGCCCAGCATAGATCCTCAGGAAGTGTAACAGCTGATGTTTGTCATGGAGATCTTGTTCTCCCAGGACACAGTGTTGATCTCGAAGTTGCAGATTGCAGTCTATGATAGGGGAGAGTAGGAAACAATCAGTTAAGATTACAGTGAAAAGGCAAGGGTGAGATGTCAAGGTGGAGTGGGAATCCTATTAAGTCCCAGTGTACTCATACTGACTCTGCACAGTCCATTCATTATTTCTCTCATTGCCCCCAGTCCTTCAGATAGCACATGTCCCTCATTCCAGCAGCTCATGGGATTCTACATTGTCCTTCCTTAGCATAATTCGGGAAGGAAGATATTCAAGATGAGGCACAGAATCCTCAGAGTCAGTCCAAAGAATAAGACTCAGGGTCTCTGGGTTTCTTTACCTCCAGAACCTGGACCAGCACTAAGAGGGTCATGAATGAAGAATGAGGGGTATGAAAAACCCTTCTTAAAATGACAGAGTAAAGGGAGGGGTGACAAGAGGCACGCAGCTTTCTCCAGAACCATAATACTTCAAAAACTATCTCTATCCCTACAAAGATTAGGAGCATAAGGGGCAACATTGGAGCATTTCACCTAGAGGGCTATAGTCCCTGCGGTATCATCTGGGCAAGGGACTCAGGCTGGGATTGAGTAAAGTTCCTCCTGTCCAGAAACTACCCCTGAAGCTGACTCCATCATCTCAGCAGGCAGCATTCCTCAAAGAGGTAACACTCCAATTCCCAGGGAAAATTCACTGAGCAATGTAGTTAACAGTATGGCCAAATATACCCACTCCTCTATCACTGGGCATCAGCATGTATTTGTATCATCATAAACTGACATCATAACATCCAAACAAACCTATTCATGTATCATCATACCCAGTAACAAATGCATGCTTACAGAAACATGCACACACACTAACATACACACACAAACACACAGAACTGCATAAAAACCATCCCAGATGCATATGCACTCATAAACCTACAGGTTTACACACACCCCTGCCTGCAGGATAACTTCTGCAGGTTTTAGTCCATTTTCATACCTCCTTCTCATATGGCTGTTCATTGAAGGGGCAATCAGCCAAATCAACAAACTGGCCTTTGGTACATGTGGTTCGTCCTAACTTAATTCTCAAGTAGAAGTTCTTTCCAACAACGACCTACAGTGAAAAGAGTAGGATTACATACGTTTCCGTAGTCAGGTTCATAGGACCCATTCATCTTAGATTACAGAGTTAATGTGTTAATAGCTTCATCCATGAACTCCCAGAACTATCACACACTAGCTACCTTTCAATAGGGTAGCACAGGAATGGATTGCACCTCATTTTCTTCTGATCAAGTGTTAGAGGGTACCGTGTGCTTCTGAGAAAGCAGTATCAGAACATGGAAAGCAAAAGCCAAGGAATGACCATTGCTTCAGTGGGCTCAAGGAGTGAAGACAAGTTCTACAGAGATATCCAGGGGTGGTAACCACTTCCCAGGGTTGCTCTAAGAACAACAAAGAGCTCTGGGTTGCACACAAGACCAACTCAACCCTGCTGACCGTGACTTTTGAGACAATGTAAGTGGCAAACTCTAGGAAGACCTCAGGTTGATGACTCACCTTCAATTGTATCCCCACTACAGTGCACATCCCATAGGATGCCTAGTCCCTCCATTTACAAGTCGTTATCAAGACTTGTTTCTTTATAGGGCAGGGAAATGTGGGATGTTTGCACATGAAGATGATTTAAGCCACAAGGAAAGTGGCCCAAACTGCCCTATCTTTTAGTGTGATTGTCTATGATGATATTGTTGAAGTGACATCTTGAAAAAATCTTTCATTGGTTTGTAATTAGAGATGTTTTTAACCCTTTCCTTGCACTAAGCATCCCAGATGAACTTGTCAGGAAGGGAAAAAAAACCAGGAGCTTAGGTACCTGGAAACAGAGCTCTAGTTCTTGCCTTGAAGAATTAGAAGCAAGGTTCTCAATATTTCTCTTCCTGAATTCCTCTCCTGTGAAGCTAGATCCACAGAGTCTATGGTCTATACCTCTCCTGCATTTCCCCCAATGGCATTATACAATGGAATGGTCCAACAAGGACCTTGAAACCTGGGAAGGACATAATATGTTCAGTTTCTGACCCTAATTGGTTGCTGGAAGGGAAGTAGGACTGATCTGGAGTTACCTGAATGTTCAAAAAGGAAGAAAAATGAGATTTACACATATGTGTGTGGATCATGTTATGGCTATATTGCTATGGGCTCACTGAGATTAGATATAATATAACCCACATAATCCCCAGCCATCCTTTGAAGCTGACCTTAAAAATAGGTTTTATTGCTGGCTCTGATCCCTTCTTATCTTGGTAACTGCTTTACTTGATGAGGGATAATTTCATGCTGTAGAGGCAGAATCCACTAAGGTATTGTTTATATAGAGGGAGAGAATGTCTGGGGTATTGGCCATAATATTCCCATATTAAGATAATGGCACCAACTCCAGTGTTCCTCCCCAAGATACTCAGGGCCATCATGTACACAATGACAAGACTTATTATGATAGTTTGAAGGTATTTGCCTAGTAGATTTAGGAGGGTTCCTGCCTAGTGACTGTTATTAATTTGCCGAAACGTTAGAGCATTCAGACTGAGCACCAGTCAACAGCATCATGTATTCCTTAGAGATAGGAACTCCTGAGAAATGTGTCCTCATAGGATTATATCATGGAGCATTCTAAAGAAGTACACAAGCTAAAAGGGCTAGAGTGCTCCTGGGCCATAGCATTGTATACAGAGCATATTACTGAGCAAGATCTCCTTGAGTAGAACATGACTGTTTGCTACAACTGAATGGATCCTTCCATATTTCAAGGTCAGGGAAGCTGAGAAGAGGCTGTCAGAGGGAAGGAAGATACTTAGGAAATTGGATAAGTATATCAGCCTAAACTGGGGATGTCAATCATCACATCAGTAAACTGAGTGAATCTGTAATTGTGGCAACTGAATTTGTCTGTTGATTCCTGATTTTGTAAATGCAATCTGGCATTGTACAGGAAACCCTTACTTTCAAAAACTGTTCTCGGAAGGGAGTATTTATTATCAATGCATTCAAAAGCTAACTGCTCACAATCCCACACTCTACTACACACAACTTGAGACAATGTGAAGACCGGGCCAAGTATGGCTCAATGTTACATAGAGGAGAAGGAATTGCATTAAAACTGTGTTGTACTCTTTGGCTACTCTGAAAATTTGCCCCTGTAGCAATACAAAGTGTGTGTGTGTGTGTGTGTGTGTGTGTGTGTGTGTGTGTGCGTTGTGCACTAATGAAGAAGGAAGGGAACAAGGCTGGAGAGAAGTCAGGAGTACATATGGAGGACTTAAGTATAGTACAATTCTTGGTACCAATAAAGCAGCTCTTAAATGTTTGTAATTCTGTTCTTTTCTGCCTCACAAGTATTCTCTCTCTCACTCTCCCCCCCCCGCCACACACAGATCATACACATACATATACACAAATACTTTAAACAATGATGATTATTGTTTCTTGGAGAGACACAGAAGTTGAGGCTATGTAGGAGAATAACGGAGTGATAGGGGATACCAGCAAACACTGTATTTCATCCCACTACCCTTGACCAGGGACCCACCTGCTGACCTGCGCTCATCACTTGTATTGGCTTGCTAATGTACAGGTCATTGGTCAAATCATTGTAGGTTTCGACAGCAAAGTCCACCGCTTTCTTCACCTCCTCATCGTTCAGGTCAGCAGGCTCCACACCTCCCAATGCCTTCTGATTGGCCTCAGCATTAGTACTGGTTACAGGACATGCAGCTATGACCAGTGTCAGGGCTAGAGCAGCCCACAGGGACAATGAGAGGCTCTGGTTGCTGATCATGGTTGATTAGAGTGGAGCTGCAGTGGAGCAGAGGAATAACAGTCCAGAGTGTGCTGTCCGGCTTTTTAACCTACAGAGTCAATAGCCCAGGGCCTCCTCACTCCACCCGGACTGGCCCCACTCCTAACCCTCCTTTCCCCAGACTTACCCAACCCTCTTTGTTTCTCCTCTTCTTCCACCTCTGGGATCTCCTTTCCCCAGTCTTGACACCTTCTCTTTTGTCTTTTCTTTTTCCACTGCCACTTATGTCTTCTCCCTATTCTTCCTCCTTATGAGTCTTCCAGCTAAGATCTCCTGTATCCGTGTCACCTTTGTCTGCACAAATAAATCCTTACACTTTTGGCTTTGAAAAGCATGTGTTTGAGCTCAAGTTCTTCTAAAGATATTAATGTCAGCTATGCTCCCTGAGGTCTTTGCAGGTCAGGGGCAGACACAATACCAATACCCAGAAATCTCCAGTTCCAGGATGTTATTTCAGAAGTTCCAGAGACAACCAGTGCCCTTTCCTGGGTAACTTCTTTGCCAAATGTGTGGAATTAACCATTATTTAGGAAAGAACAAATGATTTCCTTTATACAACTAACAGGTATCAGTCAGAGCACTCAATAAATAAACTTCACCCTGGGCCTGGATCTCTAGAAATTAAAAAAAAAAGATTCTGATAACTAAGCATTATATATAACATTACAGATGGCAGCTCTATAAGAAAGGACATGAACCAAATATAATTTTAAATTCTCTAGTAAACATTAAAAAATGTATGAAGAAGTAGGTGAAATTTTCAATATATTTTTATGACTAAGCATATCAAATGTTATTTCACCATGTAGGAATAAATCTTTACAGATATCTTATGATTCTTGGTGCACATATGCATTAAATCTTTGGATTATGTATTCGTACTGCTAGAGCATATAGTCCTTCAGACTGTACCTACTTCTAGAAATTCATGACAATGTGTACTAAAACATGATATACTACCATCAAGTAGCTTACATTCCTTGGTGCACATATGTATTAAATCTTTGGATTCCGTGTTTGGACTATTATGGCAGATAGTATTTCAAGCTGGACTTATTTCTAGCAACTCATGACTGTGTGTACTTAAACCATAATATAGTACAATCAAATAGTAGGCTGTGTTCTAGGGAGAATCAATTAAGTTCGGGAAAGTATAAGTGCATTGCTTGCTGTAAATGAGAAAGAAGGGAAGCCAGAGGGAAACAGGTTCCACTGGATCCTTGCGGGGGAGTGACTTTTGAGATCTTGAAAGGATAAGAGCTTCTGTCTACGGCACTGAACTAGAACTGCAGACTGATATTATGACCCTGAGACATAACAGGCCTTGCCTCTTCTAGAAACAAGGATCCCTGGTGGACATCTGAGAAAGAAAGGGGAATTATATGGTCTTTCACCCTGGCAGGTGTAAGTACAATGTAGGTGGGATGTGGATCAAGCTGATGAGAGGGCAGATATATGAATGCTCGTGTATGGTCTGTTCTTGCTTCTTCACTCAGTGAGTCTCAGTGTGATCACAGCATTTTCCCCTCTGTTTGGAACACTTACCTGGTGTTCCTGAACTCACTAGGACGAAGACAAGTTAACATAGGATGAATGTTCCATTTTGCAAGGAGGAATATTAGTGAGTACATACATCTGTGACACCCCTCCAACAATCCTAGGTAATATGCTCAGAAAGCTCTCTGGTGCCTGATCACACCCAGAGGTGCGCCTGAAGGTGTCTGTGCCTGAAGACTTGCCATTGCTTCTACCTCTCGACTACTAGGAAACAAATTTTCAGCAGTGTTTTTAGGTGCCAGTACCTCAGGGCTCTTTTTTCTTAACTCAAATTGTCAGTTCTCTTTTGCAACGAACCACAGGTGCTGGAAACCTGACTATGGGCATGAAGGGAATGAAGAAATGACAAATGCATAGACACATGTAGAGTGAACCTGGGATCAGGTGCAGCTTCTAACCACTACCCTTAAGTGTGTTTGTTGGGTACAGCAGAAGTTTGGGGGTCAAATTGCATGGGAAGGAGGTTTCTGTCCGAGAGCAATCTCAGGCTGTGAACATCAGAGAGATGCAAGCAGTCGTTGCCAGTCTTTTCACACTTATCAATTGCTAATAAACACTCTTAAATGGACTCCCAAGAAAAACTTTGCCATTTTCTTGAGTTGGCCCATATGGGTCATACTTTCTGGATTATCCTATAGGTCCAAGGCCTGGGAAACCAGAAAATAGCTATGTTCATGTCAAAATACACATTAACTCAGGACTACATTCACTTGGGGCTTCATCTGCTCTCTACCCTTGTTCTCCTCGTGTGTATAAACATTTTAAGCTTGCTACTCTGTGGGTTGATCCAAATTCAGGTTAGAACAGTGAAGGCCTAGTCTGACATGTATCCCTGAGACTGAAATTGGTATAAGATATTTTGAATACACAGTTAGTTCATTTATTCTTTTGATCGTGTCCTTTGTATAGAATAATGATGTTGTTACAAAAGACCTTAGAAGGAAGACATCCCATGTTGTAGAAACACCAGGTCATGCTTAGTTGATTAAATGGCACCAAGGACAGTCTTAGGAGTGGTGGGGTGGTGGTCAGCTGACATCTGTTTTGCCCTGCTCTGGCCTTGGGGCTGGTATTAAGTGAGAGCTGGCCAGCAGGAATTTAATAGAAAGATTCTAACAGCCCTGCATATAAAGATACAGAGGAATCAGCAGGAGCTAAAGTAGAAGCTATAACACATGATACGGAATATACAGTTGAGACAGTCAAAGAAGGTTGTTTTAGTGAACAACAGCTTCTTAATGTGGGTGAGACTGCTTTAGATTAGAGGAAGCTGCCTAGGAATTGTGCAGCTTGTATGGAGAAGTCCAGGTCTAATTTCAAAGCTTCGAAGGACAGATTTATTCTCTTATTAGGAGTCAATGTTGTTAGTGACTAAAGTGACTAAATAGTGGAGGGCACTGTTCTTTGTTGTCTTGAAATTTGTTGTCTTAAGATTACACCAAAGCATCACCATTCCAGGATGGCAGGACACCCATTTACAACACGGTTCAGTGAGTATTTGAAGCCCATATTGAGTCCTACTGTTCCAAAACATTCCTTTTAAAATATCAGTGGTCACGGGCATTGCACTTTGTCATCTAAGGGGTCTGACAGAGGTGGATTAAAGTAGTGCAGGTTCTAAGCCACTGGTAACATCTGTTCTACAGCCCATGCATCAGTGTCTTTTAGACATCCAAACCTTATTATTTACTTAATCCATTTGTAAGGCTGTAGCCATGATTAGCATTGACTCTCTGATATTGATACCTGAGGTTCACCAGAAGCGATCAAAATAGCAAGATAGGTTTCAACTGAGGGAATATAATTTTTTCTCTAAAGGGCTAGTAAGAGTTTATATTCTTCATTCCTCAAATTTGGTTTCTTGACTATAACAGGTGCTGTAGATGCATTATATTAACAATAAGATAGCAACTTCTAAAATGTTATCACACACCAGATTTTTCTTAGTTTTTTAAACCTAGAGTTGTCTTATTTTATTGCTTTATAAATAATACAATTCAAAATTTCCTCCTCCTCCCCTTCTCCCTTTACCCTCCTGCTCCCTCACTGACCTGTGAGAAGTCCAAGTCCCTCCCCACTCCATCCCAGCCTAGAAAGGTGTGCATCCATGCAGTCTAGGATCCCAAAAAGCCAGTACATGCAGTAGAATCAAATCCCAGTGCCATTATCATTGGCTTCTCAGTCAGTCCCCATTGTCAGCCATATTCAGAGAGTCCTCTTGAATTTCTTTCTTCAAAGCCTCAAAGTTCTTGTCAAGTAGATCTTTCACTTCTTTGGTTAGTGTTACCGCAAGGTACTTTATGCTATTTGTGGCAATCGTGAAACGTGATGTTTCTCTGATTTTCCTATCTTCTTCTTTATTTTTTGTATATAGGAGGGCTACTGATTTTTTTTTTGAGTTGGTCTTGTATCCTGCCACATTATAGAAGGCATTTATCAGCTGTTGGAGTTCTTTGGTAGAGTTTTTGGGGTTGTTTAAGTACACTATCATATCATCTGTAAATAACAAAAGTTTGACTTCTTCCTTTCCAATTCGAATCCCCTTGATCTCCTTATGTTGTCTTATTGGTATTGTTAGAACTTCAAGCACTATATTTAAGAGATATGGAGAGAGTGAACAGCCTTGCCTTGTTCCTGATTTTAGTGGAATGGCTTTGAGTTTCTCTCCATATAATTTGATGAGTGTCGGCTCACTGTGTATTGCTTTTATTATATTTAGGTAAGATCCTTGTATCCCTAATCTCTCCAAGACCTTTATCATGAATGGGTGTTGAATTTTGTCAAATGCTTTTTCAGCATCTAATGAAATGATCATGTTTTTTTTTTCTGTTCAGTTTGTTTATGTGATGAATTACATTGATAGATTTTCATATGTTGAGCCAGCCTTGCATCTCTGGGATGAAATCTGCTTGATCATAAGAAGGCTGAATTGGGGGATCCTAGGACCTCGCAGATGGAAAGGAGTGCTTGGGGACAAGATGGAATGGGGTAAATAGAGAAAGCCAGTAGCCGAGATGATGTCCCCCACCCCCGAATAGCCAGAAACCAATTAGGGAACTGAAGGGGGCCTGTACTCAGTTCCCAGGACGATCCAGCTAGATGGGCATACACTTACCCCTCCAATTGGATTTCCTCAGTACCAGATCAGGGCCTGTGCTGGGCCAAGGACCTTACAGTCAGCCTGTCTTTCTTTAAGTAGGCACTCTACCTACACCTTTTTACCATTCTTTGATGACATCATGTGTAACAATAATCCATTGTTTACATCATGTTACATTCATGAGTCTTATGATCCAATCAACTCTGGAAAAGCCATCACACAAGCCTATAGGAAGCTTTTTTTAAATAATCATTTATCCACTTCTCAGTCAAAGATGTTGAAAATACAGATGACACATTGAAGTTTGCTATTCATTAACTCAAGTACGATAAATGTAAAGTCCATAGGCCAATAAGGTCCATGGAACCTGGGAGGCTTTCAGTGTGTCCAAGGTAAAATCTTGTAGCAGGAGGAGCTGGGCTTTTGACTCCTTTGATATTCAGGAAATCCAGGAACGATATCTGTACACCGACTCTCCATGAAGCATTGATGTGTCTCTTATGTGCTTAGTAACACCCACATGTGGGCTTTTGAGAAGCCTTCTGTGGATATCATTACAGTTGGAAGGCATTTTTTTCCCAGACAGGGTTTTGAAGTAGCTATGAAGAAAGTCCTGGACTTCACTCTGTAGACCAGGCTGTCTTTGAACTAATAGAGATTGGCCTGCCTCTGCCTCCTGGGTGCTGTGATTCAAGGCATGTACGAACACTGCCTGGTTTGAAAGATATTTCAATAGCATGAAGCACTATTTGTTTAAATTCCAAATTACATGAAGTTTGACCTTGTGGCCTATCAGTCCAGATGTTGGCTTCTCATTCTTTTTTAAGCGGGCTCCTTTATCCTTTGAGGGCAAACTTCATGCTGCTGTATCCAGGTGTTTGTTCAGAGTGGTCCTCTCTATAAGTTTGGAAGGATCACCCAGCCTATCACCCAAGGATTATATCTAGAAAAAGCATCAGCAGTTTCTTGAAGCTCATTCCAGAGAAACTACAGAATCGCATGTAAAAGAAGCTAAGCTTCTTACAATAGTCAGTAGCCTTTTCTAGGAAGACTCTGATGAGAACATAAGCAGTCATCTCTATTCAAACTTGAGGAAGCACTGGCTCAAACAGAATAATATTTAGTTTACATAGTCCTTTGTTATGATTGATGGGATCATCATTACATGTTATTCATGTATCAAGTAACTAGAGAATACCTAGGTTGTCCCAATTTAGGGGGACCATTATGTTCATGACACTGAAAAACACAGGCTCATAGACATATCTTGATAGAACTTTGACAGAACTAAGGTTTGTAAATCTTAGCAGAAACAGATCAGAAAACAGTTGGCCAATATAAAAGAAAAACTATCTGAAAGAAGTTATTATTGAACCTCAACAAACTGTTATTTTTGATTCATGAAAATCAAATTTTACCTTATAAAACCTTACTTCTGTATAAAGTCTGGTAGGAAATGTACACTAAACAGTTTGATATTCAAACATTTAGGGAACTAGTTATCCATATATACATGGCCCTGGAATTGGAGGATGCTGTCATGAACTCAGAACATTGTAATAGTGAATGGATACAAGAAGGTTTATCAGGGACCTTCTGTACTATAGTTGTGGTTGTTCGTAACTTTGACCATAGCCAGGATAATAATTAAATGAAAAATTTTAAAACGATCATGTGTTTAAGGCAACTTTGATGGTGATTTGTTCATTTTCAAGGTCACTTAATTATCTGCTGACAATACCCCAGACTCCAGAAGGCAGAGGATCCTACATTCATTTGAAAGATCCTGAGTTGAAACTCTAAGTATGTGGCTGGAAAGTCTAGCAACAATAGACTTGCACCCACGTACAGAGTGCCATTTAATTTTCAATATAGTCTAATAAAGTTGTTTGTGTTAGGAGAATCCAGTCTACACAGGCTTCCAGATTATAGCAAAACTTTGAGATCAAGGTTTAATTAGAGACAAATTCATGCTGATTATGTTATTCTGTCCACCTCATTTCCCAGTTACGAAGCACACTGAACTACAGTTTAGAGCTAAGCAGCAGGGAGAAGTGAATGCTGGACTAAGGAGACATTTTTTCCCCTCTAAGTGTCAAATCCAGGCTTCCTCCCTTCAAGGGTGTTATCCCTACTCTTAGACATTTTGCATTTCCTCAGCACAGCTCAGGGGAAGTTAATGTTGTCTTCATCATTCTTGTTTATAAAATGTTCAGTGATTCTGGGACTCCTTCTTGATACTGGAATTCTCGGTGCTACTCAGCAGTAAGTGGCCCGGCACAAGGTTTGGAGCCAGTATATGATTCAGAGTCACTATTTGTATGGAAAGCAGATGTAGTGGAGCGTGTAGCAAGCAAGCTGTGGACTTTTTTGTCTTGCATTGGGTCTCTGGCTGGATGTAGAGCTGCAGTGAGCATGGTTGAGGAAATGAGTATAGACTGGAAATCAGCCTCCTTTTACATCTGTACTCCTTGTCAGGGTCCCATACTTTTGCCCTTGGAACTCCTTTTCCTGTTCCTCCCTTCTAGAGTTTCTCTCTTTGCATATTTCTCTTACAGCCCAGACCTGACTCCTCTTTTGTTTTTTTCTGCTTCACAGCTGGAACTCTTCCCCCTACGCTTGGCATCTACTCTGTGTCTCTTCTCTTTCTCATTCTCTCACAGCTCCATGTTATCCCCTGATCCCAGATTTCTCCACACATCATCTCCTTCCATTTCTGAACTCTCCTTGGTTGATCAACACATGTACACATGTACACAAGGTGTCACTGTTTTCTGGCCTTCAGACTTCTATAATGTCATTTCTATAATGTCCAAAATCAGCTCTTGTTGCCTGAAAAGTTTTCTCATTGAGGTTCTGACACGGCAGAATAATCCAGGATCAAGGTGATGATATCCCCATGGAAGAATGGTGTTTCAGGGGATCCAGGAAAATGTTAACTTGAAGCACAGACAGGACATTTTTTTCATTACTGAAAACTCGATGGACTAGAGGAGACTTTCATATAGTTTACATAATTGTTTCTCTGTATCATGTAAGCAAGCAATTGCCTATTAATCAGAATATCTAGTGACTGTATTGTCTTTTGAGAGTTTCTATGGCCTCAATGGCCAACATATTATTAGAAGGCTTCAATACTATGCATTATGATATTTGTTTAATTATGCAGTGTTCCAATTGACAAAATTTTCTATTCATGAATTTTTTCTTATTTTACACTCTTTATTAATTCCTACATGCATGCATGCATACATACATACATATGCACACACATGATTAAGTTATTTGGTTTCCATGTTTTTCATGTCCCTAACCCATAGGCTGAACTCCCTGTTTAACACTGTCCATTCCTTTAATTTCCCTTTGTCTCTTCATAGTACTTATACTGTACTCTCTTCCAATCCTTTACTGATGAGCCTTCAAGGAGCACTTTCTACTATCATGGCTTTTTTCTTAGAGTTCATATGGAAAATAGAAACTTAGAGATCTAACATAAGGGATAATATGCAGCATTTTATATTCTCAGGCTTGAGTACCTTTACTATATTACATTGAAGTTTCATCCATTTACTTTAAATTATATAATCTCATGTTTTTTTTAATCATAATAAAATTCCATTGAGGTTTTGTGTCACATCATTATCATCAACTAATCAAGGGTGGGATATCTAAAGAGATCTTTCTTCCTACCTTTCATGAATAAAGCAGAAATGAGTAGCTATGTATATAAGCTCTTGTGATCAGATATAGAGGTCTTTGGTGTAGAATTCTAATGGAATATTTGGGTTATGAAGCAATTTTCTTTCGACATTTCTGAGTAGTCTCTATAATGTACCAGTTACATTTGCATAAACAATGAATAAGTGTTCTTTCTTCTCATTTTTTATGGACTGTTTGATTAATGATAGTGAATCTGACTGGAGTGAACTCTCTTCTCAATATTAGTTTAAATTTCATTTTCCTGATTACTGATGTTGTTCGGCTATCTAAATGTTTCTTAGATCCTCAAATATCTATTTTCAAAAATAGTGCTCTGCAGATCCGTATCCAAAAACACTTTCTAATTATGGTTCTCAAGAAAGTAGCATTGGAGGGCCCACATATCACTATAATACAGACTACGAATGAAAAAGTCATAGGGAACTGAAACAAAAGTGAAACATTGCAAGCAATCACAGTAAAACCATGAAGTAGTATAATGTTGTTCAGTGTAGTACTTAGCCTCTTAGCTATAACAATATGGAGATTACAGAATACTGCAAAACAAATAGAAGTGAGTAACTCAAAGTTGTACCATGGTTGTATCCATTCGAATGACATGTTGCTCTCCACAGAAGCCCATAATGATTTGCAAGAAAACACCTAGACCAAAAAGACACTTTCACCAAATGTTAAAGCACAAAATTAAAATAGAAAATTCACAGACTTTTATACAGAAAATAATAAGGAAAATGTGAAGGAAGTCAGAGAAACATGACAGAAGTGCTTCTAGAGGAAGTCACTCTCAAAATGAACCTCAACAAAGAGGAAAAGATTTCTGAATTAAAAACACCAAAACATTTTAGGATGAATTCAAGGAAGGTCCTACAGATGGGAGGAACTCTTGTGATAAAAGATTGTTGAATTTAATATTGTGAAAATGACTGTACAAATTAGCTTTCTCAACTTGACAACTTAGAGTCATCGGAAGTAAGTCCCAGGAGAAACAAATGGGTAGAAAGCATGTCCGTGGGCACATTGGCACAGAGTATTTTATTTTTAAAATGATAGAGAGTTTTTGAGCAGCGACAAGCAGCACCATTTCTAGGGCACATGATCCTGGGTTGTGTTTGTTTGTTTGTTTATTTAGTTATTAAAAATTTCCACCTCTTCCCCGCCTCCCTTTACCCCCCCTCATACCTCTCCCTCCCCACCTTCCCATTCCCCTATAGTCTTAAGAGCAGTCAGGGTTCCCTGCCCCGTGGGAAATCCAAGGTCCTCCCCCCTCCATACAGATCTATAAAGGTGAGCATCCAAATAAACCAGGCTCCCACAAAGTCAGTCCATGTAGTAGAATAAAAACCCAGTGCCATTGTCCTTGGCTTCTCAGTCAGCCTTCATTGCCAGCCACGTTCAGAGTGTC